GGAGACGATGCACCAAGGGCTGTTTTCCCCAGCATTGTAGGTCGGCCAAGGCATACCGGCGTCATGGTAGGAATGGGGCAGAAGGACGCTTATGTGGGGGATGAGGCGCAATCTAAAAGGGGTATCCTTACACTGAAATATCCTATAGAACATGGTATTGTTAGCAATTGGGATGATATGGAAAAAATTTGGCATCACACTTTCTACAATGAGCTCCGCGTGGCTCCTGAAGAACATCCCGTGCTCCTCACTGAAGCACCCCTCAATCCTAAGGCGAATAGGGAGAAGATGACCCAGATCATGTTTGAAACTTTCAACGTGCCCGCCATGTATGTTGCCATTCAAGCTGTACTCTCCCTTTATGCCAGTGGTCGTACTACAGGTTTGTTCCTGAATTAGAATCTTATATTCCACTTGATGATGGAATGCTTTAACAGATTGTTAATTTGATAACCTTGCAAACTTTTCACTTTGTTAAGTTTTTGTTGGTTAAGGAAGTTAGTCATTCTTCCACTTGTCATGACCTCATGAATTTGATAACACAATTCAAGAAGGATATAATAACTACCGCAAATAATACGGAATTGAGATATAAAAGAAAGGAAATCAAAAGAGGTTCTTGGATTGCTACTCAATTGAGTAACAACTTGACACTCTGACACAGCAACATGAAATAATCCAATTAACAGCAAGTGATTTTGGTCTTCCTATATGTGTTTTCGTCTACTTGCCTGCTTAGTCCTTCTCAGTAGTTTAGCTCCTCATGGCAGTCACTTTATTAATAAATTTTTTCCCAATCAGGTATTGTGCTGGATTCTGGTGACGGAGTCAGTCACACGGTTCCCATTTATGAAGGTTATGCACTCCCCCATGCCATTCTTCGGCTTGACCTTGCTGGAAGGGACTTAACCGATGCTTTGATGAAGATTTTGACGGAGAGAGGTTACTCATTCACCACAACAGCTGAGCGTGAAATTGTCCGCGACATAAAAGAGAAGCTTGCCTACGTGGCTCTTGATTATGAGCAGGAGCTTGAGGCTGCTAAGAGTAGTTCATCAATTGAGAAAAGCTATGAGTTACCCGATGGCCAGGTAATAACAATTGGAGCAGAGCGTTTCCGATGTGCCGAGGTTCTATTTCAACCATCGCTTGTCGGGATGGAAGCGCCTGGAATACATGAGACCACATATAATTCAATCATGAAGTGCGATGTCGATATAAGGAAAGACTTATATGGGAACATTGTGCTTAGTGGTGGCTCCACCATGTTTCCTGGCATTGCAGATCGTATGAGCAAGGAGATCACTGCTCTAGCACCCAGCAGCATGAAAATCAAGGTGGTGGCTCCCCCAGAGAGAAAGTACAGTGTTTGGATTGGAGGTTCAATATTAGCTTCCCTCAGCACGTTCCAACAGGTAACTTCATTGCACAGACTTACACTATTCGTTTCTTCTATCTTTTCAAATTCAATGGTAATTTGACGTGAGCGTCATCTTTGTTTGACCTACAACGTAATAATGCTTCTAGTAGGACAGAGACATTAATGGCTTGCTTATTTGCGAATTCATGAGTTTCTCCTAGTAAAAAAACAAGATGATTTGGATGTGTTCTACAACCTACTCACTTTCTGTGTTATTCTTCTGGTGCTTACTCCATACAGATGTGGATATCAAAGGCCGAGTATGATGAATCCGGGCCATCGATCGTTCACCGGAAGTGCTTCTAGATATGTCTTTGTGATTCTCCGGCGTGCAGTTTTTGCTTGTGTCTTAATGACAGTGGATTTTCGGATGATTGGGTAATATCGTGTTTGGGTTGGCTTGTCTGTCCCTTTCTTTAGCCTTGTCTATTCTTGAGCTTGATAAAACCATACGCGTCACACAAGCTTATACATATTTAGATCTGCTTGAATTATGTATCGGACTATCGAGGATGATTGTAATGGCAATTTCCTGGTTGCATCTAGAATCCTTCTCCCATTCTTTGTTTGTACTCCGAATCTGTTCAGCATTCTTTAGCTTATAATGGTATTTTTAAGAGTGAAGATCAGTTGCCTTGCATCCTCTTTTTGCCTTCTCGACTACACTTGCTATTGCATGGAGAATCGCAACTGAGCAAATGGGCTAGGAGCCACTGTCACTGCCGACACAGGCGGCTAGTGGTGTATATATTTCTTAGCTAATCATCTCGATCCTAGTAATGTATATATTTCTTTCATCATGGTTCGGTTCGATTCAGTTCAGTTCCAATGGATGGTTTGGTCTGAGTTTTTTGTCTGACCATATTTGACCGGTGGGGTTTGACCTTGAAGCCCACCAAACCGCACCGTGCTCACCTCTACTAGTAAGTGTCTCGATGTTCTTATCAAGCATCTGTTAATCATATTTAACAAAAAAAAAAATACTTAGAACGAAGAACTATGCACACAATACACGAGAAATTTAATGCGTTGGAGGCTGGAAATTTTCCTTATTCAGTTGCTTAACAAGTAGCTTTGAATGCACTTGCTAACGAATCGGTTTATCAAATAGCTGCGCATCTCCATCGATCCGTTCTATTCAAGCGAAACAATCTAATTTGTTGCTGCCTTGTTCCCTTTCGCAAACTGAGCAATAAGCTTTTCGCTTTAGTGCCATGGAGTTTGAAGAAGGATCAGCAACCATATGAGTCAATAGACGAGCGAAGACCCTTCGATCCACACTTGTTTGCCCCTTCCTCATGTGAAAGAGGTATCCTGAACAAAAACAAATGTAATTGTAACGATATCTGAAAGACAACTCCAACCTTTTCTCTTATATATCTGGCTCTGGCATGAGTAATGGTGATGGATAATGAAAACGAACCGACCGTCCGGTTCGAACTAGATGAAGTCGGTAGTATGTACACATAATGAAGGCATCGGAGGTGCACAAAATATATCTGGTATGTCGGGATCGACATGAAAAGATTGACCTAAGAGTACTTGTAACAAGCGTGTCACGTGTCGTTAGACCTGTCAAAATATATCATAAACCAATTTCTTAATCTGTGTGTGGGGGTTGAGTCAGCATATGTGTTCGTTATATTGTAAACAAGTTATAAATGGGTTTAGAATGGCAAAACCCAAAAATATATGGGTATTAAATGGCTTCATTGTTTACCCAAACCAAACCTATCTCCGTAACTTACTCTTCAGTTCTTCTAAGAAAATAACGGACTCATCAGACTATTCCAAGTTCGGTGAAGTCTTGATGGGCTCGCAAAATAGGCCCGACTTCACCCTTATTAAAAATATCAAGATGGCTTCTTTCCCCACTCCCCCCCTTGTTTTTTATTTTTATTAATCTTGTTTAGTCCATTAGCTATTGGAGTATAGCTTTCCTCCGTTGCATTTTTATTTTTAGGTAATATTCTAATATTAGTTCTTGCATTGCAATTCATGGTCAGCATAAATCGTCTTATTCAATATTTTACATTCCATTTAATTTAAATTTCAACTCCTCCACATTATTTTGTTGCTATGATTTTATAAATTCAACACCAAGTACTAACTTTCTCTTATTCTTCATTGTGAATCAATACAAAAAATTGAAAATTCAATGCAATTTTGAAAGCTAATTCTTTTAGCATCTTATACCAAATAACATATACCCATGAAGAGCTTAAAATGGGTTGACTAAGTTGATGTTGGTTTTCATAAATAGGATTGAATATGGATGTGTTTTAATTAGATGGGTCGTGTCAGGTCGGGTACGAATTGGATACAAGTTGAGTATTGCACATAAATGGATCAATTTGGGTTGGATTTTCGACCTGGCCCAATCCACCCATTTTGACTAGGGGTGATCGGTTATCGGTCCCGTCCGGTTCCTAGGTGGAACCGAGAATCAGGAACCGGTCACTTAGGATTTAGTTCACATTTTACTAATTTATGTCAATGAAGTTCACTTAAGATTTAGTTCACATTTTACTAATTTTTGTCAATGAAGTTCGCTTAGGGTTAGTTCACATTTTACTATTTTTTTCTGAAGAAATAAAAAAAAGGTATGTGTAGTCCGTCCGGTTCCCCCTTGGAACCGGAATCAAACTATTTGGACACCGGTTTCACTTTTAGGAATCGGGAACCGGACCGACACTCTTGGGAATCGAACCCAACCGATCGATTCAGTCCAGTCTAGTCGGTTCCCGATTTCGGCGGTCCGTTTTGCACACCCTTAATTTTGACCGCCCTACTTGTCGTCCTCAATAAAATCCGGAAAAAAAAAATATCCCCAAACAAGAAAAGAAAAAGCCGAGGAACCACATGAAAACGCCACTCCGGAAAGGACCGGAACCGGCGACCGCGATCCGCGTGACATCTCCGCCGAACCGTCGTACGTACGCCCCGTCGTGTTTTTGCACCTCTTCCCCGGTTCTGCTTCAGCGCCCGAAACGCTCGTCCCTTGGCGAGGCTTTCCCGGTAGTGATTTTCGCTCCCAAATTTGCCAGGACTGCAAGGCATCCTCTGTATCGGAACTTGAGGTAGTAGCCGAGCGAGAGGGACCACGGACACGAGAGAGACGTTGCAGCGACAGCGATCGATCATCCTCGCCTACATGCCAATCGCCAAGTAACGTCGCAATAAAAACTCCGATTTCGGTAGGTCGAATCCGCGAAAAATGAACCCCGGTTTCGTTAGGTCGAATCCGCGGAGTAGGCAACGGCACTTCATAGCTCGTGCCGGCCTCACGATGCTTGCCCGATTTCGCTCGGTTTCGCGCAATCGAGCCTTCGCTCTAAGCCACAATCATAGATGAAGATTAGCTACTCCCATCTTTCCCATGAGTTGTAGTCTCCATGGCGATGCTACACTGGGCTAAGACATTTCAATAGCTCAAGTCCGAGGTCAGTGATTTTTCGGTTCGGTTCGGTTCGGTTACGGAAATAAATGAAATCCGTGGACCGCCCGTGGATTATTATGAACTGCGTACGTCGTATCGGCGATCGATTATGTTAATATAGAGTCCGGAATTAACTGATAATTACTATATAATCACTGTTCAATCTTCCCTTTGATGGTCAAGTTGACGACATTAGCTCCAACATTTGCATCGATGTTCAAAATATTTACATTGCCATTTATGGAGTACTCAAAATAATTGCATTAATTAGGCAATGTAAACTAAGAAAATTGGCCAGATTAGAGCCTTTCCCAGTAAGTTTCATATGCTCGCGGCTCCTCCGGGAAAGCTCTCGCCAGCGGAATCCGTCCTCCGATCGGCATTCTCACGGCAATGGTCGACGCCCTCCGATTCGGAGCTCCCTGAGCGGTCGACGACCAAGCTGCTCCGGCAGGTCGGGCACGACTTGTGCGAGCGCAGCCACCTCTCGATGCACTCCACGTGGTACCCGTGGCTGCACGTCGCCAGGACTCTGATCCCGTCGCCCTCGACGAACTCCGTGAGGCAAATCGCGCACTCCGCCTCCGTCCCCGCCAGCTTCGTCACCCCCGGCACGTAGGTCACTGCCGGGGCCGCGATCAGGTCGGAGTCGCCGAGCTTCGGCTCGAGCTGCTGCTCCTGCTGGCGGCGCCGCTGGTGAGCCGCCGACGGTTGGCCACGGCCGCCGCCGCCACCGCCGCGGAGGAAGCAGCGGATGGCGGTGTTGAGGACGAGGGCGCAGATGAGGCCGCAGAGGAGGACGATGAGGATCATTGCGGCGTTGGCCTCGAAGTCGCCGGTGGCGGAGTAGGGATGCCATCGGCAGGTGGAGATGTCGCACGTGGCCGGTGAGGGTTGCGGCGGCACGAGGTGTGGAGTGGTCCGAGGCACCGGCGGGGCGACTAATTCCGGTGCCGGCCGCATTTGCTGGATCTTGAGCCTTTGTTGGGTATGTGTGTGTGTGCGTGTGTGCGACGGGAAGTTGGTTTTGTGTTTGAGAGAGAAAGAGAGAGAGAGATTGCGTGGGAACAAAGGCCGGGGTGATATTAATATAAGAGAACCGGAAGAATGAATACTGCACAGAATCGTGTCTACGCAGACCAACACCAACACCAACACCAACACCAACACCGACACCGATGTTGGTCTGCTTAGATCGAGCCTACGTAATAATTTCTCCGAGCAACAAACGCATACCGCCTAATCGAGTGCCGAAACCTTTCGCACGAAGCAAAAGAAGGAAAGAAAATAAATGCTCGGACATACTTTTCTTCGATTGCCGACATGGTATGGTACCTATTTCGCTCGAATCTCGATAATTATCCGGCACCGTCGAAATCGGTATGGTTGATCACTCGCGCATCAATTGTACCATTATGAAAGAAAAGAATTAGAAGGGTGTAATAGGGACAATCCTGCATTATTTGAACTTTACAAAAGGAAAAAAAAGGTTGGTTCTTCTCTTTTGTCCATATGATTGACATGATTGATATAAATAGTTCATCCTCATGATGAATTTTTGTTTTACTTTTTTTTTTGTGTGTGTGGGGCCAAATTAAAGAAATGTCAATTTTCAATAGCAAAAGCATAGTCGAAAGAAAAAAAAAAATTAGACAAGCGAAATCTTGACCCTCCTATACTTAAATTAAAATATTACCTTAAATAGGGTCTTATTGATAACTATCACCAGTTAAGTTAATTAAAAGTGGAAATAGATAGAACAGTCATTTAATAGAAGTAGTAAATTTTAGATTTCCAAAGAACATTTAGAAAGGCTTAACAAGTATCCAGGGGCGTCTCTTGAACATGTTCCTTGTAATTGATCAAAGATCTTATGTTTATAGATGTCCAAGCCGATTACCATGTGGTCATTGGGACTCGAGTGATCTGATGGTCGAGATAGGATGGAGTCGCAAGATGCTGATGCATTTCATTTAAAAGAGGTTGCTCGAGGAGTTCTCTTGGGAAAGAAACCCGATTCATTTTCTTGTTTTATATATGCAAGGTGCGTAATCATATAAAGATGGTACGCGCTTTCACTCGAATCTTGCAGAAAAGAAGGCACGGTTCCACCGACCTGAGAAAAGTAAGGGAAAAAGGTCGCCTGAATAGCCGTGGATGACGAAATTAGTCATACGTATGCTAGGGTGATGATATCATACTGAGATCTAGTCGACTAAGTTACATTTGGTAATACTAACTAGGAATTCACATCGTTAATTTGTACGAGAGGTGTTGTTTTTGGTAAGAAATATCGAATAAATGAGTGTGTGTTTTTTTTTTTATCTCATATTGAAGCCATCTGATAAAGTTAATTCTAGTGTTCTTGTGTTATTTCTCAAGATTAATGATCATATTAAATAGCTAGTTTACTTGCACAATTAGTCCTTTAATTTCAAGCTGAAGTAGGCTAAGGGCGTGAATGAAAATCATTCTGCTTTTAGAATAGATTTCTGGCCAGAAATAGATTTTTTTGTTTCTATTCCCTAGACGAGTTTCTAAATAAAAATATGTATTTGATAACGACATAAAATTTCTCTTCACATAACATATTTGTTAGATAATGACACAAAATTTCTCCCTCTTACGCTCTTTTCCATTCATCGACGGGTGACGGGAGACGGTGTATGGCGGCAGGTGACGGGAGGCAAGGGCAAGCGATGAAAAGAGTTTTTATTTCTTTTTTTGTTCCAGAAACAAAAAAAAGTAAAAAAAAAATTACTTTTCATTTTTGTTCCAAACATATTTCCGGACTAAAAATTTGTTCCGGAAATAGAAAAATGAAATTGTGTTACCGAACGATTTATGTTCCAAACTTGATCTCGGGAACAGAAAAATTAAAAAATAGAGAAAGAAAATAGTTATCATGCGCGCTCTGAGCATGCTTATCATGGAGCCATGGGAAAGAGATGAATCACATACTTCTGACAGATTCTTTTGTGTAGAATGGCACCGGATGTGTTTGCAAAGATTGATATGGCGAATCTACGCTTAGCCAAACACCATTTGACACAGGAGTCACAGCAAGCAACAAAGCGTTGGGATCAAATAAGCTTCTGCGCATCGGTTCTTTGCAAACCCTTTGGTGCACTCAGCATCATTCTAAGATGAATCCCAAACGAGTACGCGCAAATGATCATCTGCTGATGATGGAACGTGAGGGTGATGAACCTCAGAAGATAGGAGAGAGAGAGAGAGAGAGAAAGAGAGAGATATGGATAAGCTGACAAGAGTAAATGACAAGAACATAACTCCGGTCGTCAACATCCCACCAAACAAACGACTCCCTATACTGAATGATCTCTTTGGGTTCCAAGATGTAGACACTTCCAGAGCGCCCCTACGTCTCCATGCCTCTCTCTCTCTCTCTCTCTCCTCTGTGCGTCCGAACAGAGAGGAGAGAGAGCCAACGAGAGACGTCTTCACATGCAGATTTCTGTGGTGAAGAATGATTGAAGTTGCAGCGTCATGATCAGAGAGAGAGCGGCATGGAGGGCAGGGTTGGCATCTTGTGGGGAGCTCTGGACCCACGAGCTGACTCACGAAAACCCGAAGAAAGACCAGGGCCATCTCTCTCTGTCTCTCTCTCTCTATCTCTCTGCAAATTGGGGAGAGTGTTTGCAACAACATTAACTGTTGCCCTGCAACGCAGGCAACTGAACAGTGAATCCATGGAGGATTGGAGGGCATCCATTCCTTTCACATTTAGTACACTCGTCGTGGTATTTTCCTTGGTGAAGAGGGTGGCGATTGTGCAGGCATGGCGGGCCACCAGCCTCCAGCACGAAGATGTCCCCTTTTAACCTTTTGAATAAGTACCATTTCTTTTTTGACCAAAAAAAAAAAAATGAAGTACCATTTCTAATCTTAAAAAAAAAAATTGTTCTCCCTTTTTATTTTTATTTTGGTTGAAGAAAGGTATATGGAAAGGGGACGTTCCAAACCCATTCCATTATTCGACCCAAAAAAATAAAAAACCATTTCATTAACATCGTCCTCTTACACTCCAAACTCGTCACAAACTGGTCACAAAATTTCGGTATAATATCTCAAACCCGCCTTACTAAAGTAGCCCGGTTCCCGCCGGGTACGCGTAACCCTTCAAAATAATTTATTACAAATAATAGTTACACGTTGAATATATAATAAGCTACCTCAAATTCGCAAACGCGACTATTTATTCAAAACTCATGTACTATAATCTCCGATTAGAATTATGATGAGTCCGAGACATGAGCTTGGAAGAATTTAAGATCGATGATCATGTTTTACAGCAATTAGAAGTTATGTGTTAACTGGTATATTATACTAAAGTTTGTTCTTAGCAATCACAAATGTCTATAATTAAGTAGCCTGAAGTTTTGACATGGTAGGCAAACTTGAAAAAATCCCAAATGACATTACAGCATCCTAATAGAGTTAATAGCTAGACATATTTACTCAACTGAGGGATATAAAGGAATCATAAATACGACGTACCCTAAACCCGTTCTGCTTTCCCAATCACACTACTAATTTACGCCCATTAGGGTTTGAGAGGGTCGGATATCCTATTATGGCCGCCTCCTTCCATCCTTGTCGAAGCCGAGTTATAAATTAATGACGAGTAGCATGGGTACCTGCCTTGTCCCCTAGCAACATTAAGCTCAAATCTCACGTAGGATCCAGAAGAATGTTCAAACAGAAATTCCTAGGTTCTTAAGCCAATTTGCATACAGGTTGATGCCTTCTCATAAGAATAGTTGCACCTTGATCTCGGGATAATTATCAAAAAAAAAAGATTAAAACTTATTGTACGAATGTCAATTCAGTCATAAACATTCTAATTGATCAATTTAGTCCTAAACTTTTTGACGATTTGCCAATGTAATCCTTCTGGCCAATTTTGGCTGGAAAACGCTAATGTGGACGCCAATTGTCTTACGTGACATAGCCAGTAACGGTGGGTGCTAACATGAACAATTTTTGTATTTTTTTTCTTATTACTTTGCTTTTCTTTCTTTTCAAATTTTTTTTTTCCATTGGGATCGACGATGTTGCTGACCCTTGCCGGCCACTGGGCGAGGGCTTAGGCCCTCGCTCACTGCTTGCGAGGATTGCGGCCCTTGCTTGTACCTTCGCTAGATATGGGCGAGACCCACCTTCCCCACGGCTAGCGAGAGCCTTGCGGCCCCCTGCCTAGTGGTTGGTGAAGGTCGCTAGTCATCTCTGAGACCCAGCGACCCTCGAAGGCCACAATGAAAAAACTTATAAGATGTTATCTAGCCTGTGCCCTAACAATAATGCTTGGTCGATGTCTCTCTCCTCTCTCGTTAAAGTTAACATAATAATATGTTACCTTGCAGTAGTCATGCTGTCGCTCGCCATCCTCAACAAGAAAGATCAAAACACCGTCCTCTCCACGCCACCGGGGCCGTATGTGCGCGCGCATGCATCTTTTGCGAATTGAAACATAACGACATCCTATTGCGGTTATTTGCACTATTGCTTAACCAGATGCTCTCTCTTCCTTAAAGTTTTAAACTTCAAAACACTAAAAAAACATGTCTTTATAATTTAAATTGAACTCGATTGGACCATGAAATAATATTCTTAATAAATGCATCGAGAACTAAACCCGAATGAAGAAACTACATCCTCATTGTGACACAATGAAGGAATCTAGCTTCATTTCTAGGGTAAGCCCCTCTTGATGCGAATTCTGTGTAATCTGTGAGTTAAGTCTTTTTCGCTTTTCTGCAGCATCTTCTTCCACGGCTTTCGTGTAAGAGTATGAGGATGCTTTTCTATATCTTGATTCGTCAACCAACGCTCGTGGAGGCACGTTTTGGCGGCCTTCTTGTCTGGTGGAATTGTACGACGACTATATCCCATCTGCTTAAGTTACCTAGATGTGGGTTAGCAGTTAATGGTTATGGTGCAGTATTTTCTTTTGGAGCAGTGTCGTCCAAACTACAGATTTGGAAAACTAGGTTGCTCGGTTGAAGGGGGAGGCAAAAGGCGGCTTTTCCCGGTTCCCAAT